ACAGACAGTTAGACAGACAGTGAGAGAGATAGATAGACAGACAGTTAGACAGACAGACAGACAGATAGATCGATAGATAGATAGATAGATAGATAGATAGATAGATAGATAGATAGATAGATAGACAGACAGACAGACAGACATTCAGATAGATAGATAGAAAGACAGACAGACAGAGATAGACAGACAGATAGACAGACAGATAGATAGATAGATAGATAGATAGATAGATAGATAGATAGATAGATAGATAGACAGACAGACAGATATATAGAGACAGATAGATAGATAGATAGATAGATAGATAGATAGATAGATAGATAGATAGATAGATAGATAGATAGACAGACACACAGACAGACAGACAGACAGACAGATAGATAGATAGATAGATAGATAGATAGATAGATAGATAGATAGATAGATAGACAGACAGTGAGAGAGATAGATAGACAGACAGTTAGACAGACAGACAGACAGACAGATAGATAAATAGATAGATAGATAGATAGATAGATAGATAGACAGACAGACAGACAGACAGACAGATAGATAGATAGATAGACAGACAGACAGACAGACAGATAGATAGATAGAGATAGACAGACAGACAGATAGATAGACAGACAGATAGATAGATAGATAGATAGATAGACAGACAGACAGACAGACAGACAGACAGACAGATAGATAGATAGATAGATAGATAGACAGACAGATAGACAGACATACAGACAGTCAGATAGATAGATAGATAGATAGATAGACAGACAGACAGACAGATAGACAGACATACAGACAGTCAGATAGATAGATAGATAGATAGATAGATAGATAGATAGATAGATAGATAGATAGATAGATAGATAGATAGATAGATAGATAGACAGACAGACAGGCAGACAGGCACACAGAAAGACAGACAGATAGATAGACAGACAGACAGACAGACAGACAGATAGATAGATAGATAGATAGACAGACAGACAGACAGATAGACAGACATACAGACAGTCAGATAGATAGATAGATAGATAGATAGATAGATAGACAGACAGACAGACAGACAGACAGGCAGACAGGCACACAGAAAGACAAACAGACAGATAGATAGACAGACACACAGAAAGACAGACAGACAGATAGATAGATAGACAGACAGACAGACAGACAGTTAGATAGATAGATAGATAGATAGATAGATAGATAGATAGATAGATAGATAGATAGATAGATAGATAGATAGATAGATAGACAGACAGATAGACAGACAGATAGATAGATAGATAGATAGATAGATAGATAGATAGATAGATAGATAGATAGATAGATAGATAGATAGATAGATAGATAGATAGATAGACAGACAGACAGGCAGACAGATAGATAGATAGATAGATAGATAGATAGATAGATAGATAGATAGATAGATAGATAGATAGATAGATAGATAGATAGATAGATAGATAGATAGATAGATAAATAGATAGAGAGAAATAGATAGATAGATAGATCGATAGACAGATAGACAGACAGATAGATAGATAGATAGATAGATAGATAGATAGATAGATAGATAGATAGATAGATAGATAGATAGATAGATAGATAGATAGATAGATAGATAGATAGATAGATAGATACCCAGATAGCAACATTGTTTCGGCCCAGATCCGGCCCACATCTGACACTTGTGGGATGCGGATCTGGCCCACATGCAGCGTGGAATGACGGCCCTTGGGTGGCCCACTCCTGTTTGCCAGATCTGGGCCACAAGCAGGCCATAGCAATGCCACATGTCAGCCAAGAGCAAAGAAATAAACCAGAACTGGACTTTATCTGAGCCACAAAATCTGTGTATATTAAATATGGAGTCATCTCAAGCCTGTTAACAAGCAGAATCACTGAAGGAAAGAAGAGAATAGAAAAAGAGACGAGCAGAAACACAAGAACTACAACTGACTTCAGACACAGTCTTAGATGAAATCAACTGAAGAGAAAAGAAGACATTACATCTGAAGATCTCAGCAGAGGAGGATTAAACAACTCCACAAACAGCATTACCAGCTTCACTTATTACTAACCAGACTAACTTTATTTCTGTCAGACTTCTACAGAAGTTTTATTGAGAATTAACAGAGGTTTAACTCTGTTTCATTTGAAGTCACCATAGCTGTGATTAGTGTTTCCATTAGTTGGGCTCTTAACTCTTAATATATCTTTTGTATTTTTTTTGGCTTTTGTGACAGTGTGTTTAGTCAAACACATTTGCAGCAGCAAAGAAAGCTAAAGTGAATTGAGATCAGGTTATAATGGTTAGCTGTTGATAGTATAATCATCAGGAAATAACTTGATTCACTGATGTCTTTGGAATCTAACAATTGTTTTGATCCATTAATACACAGCAAAATCCCCCAGTGTTAAATTAACACTGTTCAGTGTTTATGAGTCCACACTTAGAGAGTGTTAAATGAACACTGAAGCAGTGCTAAAGTTAATGAGATAATTAAGTGATTAATAGAAGGATAATTGAACATTATCGACGACACCTGATGTTAACAAGCGGAATCACTGAAGGAGAAAATCGTAATTGTTATGTTACCATTGTGGAGATCAGTATTTGCTTTAGTTGGGCTGTTGACCCTTTAAGCTATTAAATCTAGATTTTGTTTGGCTGCTGTACCTGAGTTATAACAGCCAGATGAACAAAGAGAAAAGGTGAAATGATGGTGTTGGTTGTGTTTGAACATTATTATTATTTCACAATCATTTGACCTGAATCACTGAACTCATATAGAGCCCAATTACTGAGTTACATTTACTTGATTATAGCAGCACTATCCTTGAAAAGCATATTTGTAGCTTTTACAATGTAATCCAAATAATTTCTTAAAACTTAATCTCATACAAAACCTTTTTTTCTTTTTTTTTTTACACAGACATCAAGAATCAGCCTGTGAATCTCAACAATGGTGACAATTATAAAGCATTTTGCTGTGTATTCTAGATTCCACCAATCGAATCTCATTCATGGCTCCCATCATGCATTGCTGCATGAATAAATAATGAGCTTATGTTCAGAGGTGATCTGTTTGTCACCACTGTTGAGATTCATACGCTAATTCTTGGATGTCTGTATGTGCCTACCTGAAATATTTTCTAGAAGGTTTTTTTTTTTTTTTTTGTAATTGATTTGATCATTTGGACTTAATTGAAAAGGCTAAAAAAAATTCATACTCTACAAGGACAGTGCTGTTATAATCCATAAGGTAAATTTAACTCTGAAATTATGCTCCCAATGAGTTCAGTGATTCAGGCCAACTATTGATTATGTTAAAACACAACCAACACCATCATATCACCTTTTCTCTTTGTTCATCTGGCAGGTACAGCAGCCAAACAAAATCTAAAGTTCATGAATTAAGGGTCAACAGCCCAACTTAAGCAAACACTGATCTCCATAATGGTAACATACCAATTACGATTTTCTCCTTCAGTGATTCTGCATTAACATCAGGTGTCTTCAATAATGCTCAATTATCACTCAATTAATCACTTAACGATCTCATTGACTTTAGCACTGCTTCAGTGTTCATTTAACACTCTCTGAGTGTGGACTCATATAAACACTGAGCAGAGTTAATTTAAAACTGGGATTATGCTGTGTATTAATAGATCAACACAATTGTTAGATTCCAAAGACATCAGTGAATCAAGTTAATTCTTGATGATTATAAAACCATCAACAGGTAACCATTTTAATCAGATCTCATTTCACTTTAGCTTTCTTTGCTGCTGCAAATGTGTTTGACTAGACACACTGTCACAGCAGCCAAAAAAAGACAAAAGATATTTTGAGAGTTAAGAGCCCAACTAATGGAAACACTAATCACTGTTATGGTGACTTCAAATGAAACACAGAGTTAAACCTCTGTTAATTCTCAATAAAAACTTCTGTAGAAGTCTGAAAGAAATAAAGTCAGTCTGTTTAGTAATAAGTGAAGCTGGTAATGCTGTTTGTGGAGTTGTTTATTCCTCCTCTGCTGAGATCTTCAGAGATTTAATGTCTTCTTTTATCTTCAAGTGATTTCATCTAAGACTGTGTCTGAAGTCAGTTCTTGTTTTTCTGCTAGTCTCTTTTCTGTTCTCTTCGTTCCTTCAGTGATTCTGCTTGTTAACAGGCTTATTAAGGCTGCAATTACTTAATATTTAATATACACAGATTTTGTGGCTCAGATAAGGTCCAGTTCTGGTTTATTTCTTTGCTCTTGGCTGACATGTGGCATTGCTATGGCCTACTTGTGGCCCAGATCTGGCAAACAGGAGTGGGCCACCCAAGGGCCGTCATTCAACGCTGCATGTGGGCCAGATCCGCATCCCACAAGTGCCAGATGTGGGCCGGATCTGGGCCGAAACAATGTTGCTATCTGGGTAGATAGATAGAGATAGATAGATAGATAGATAGATAGATAGATAGATAGATAGATAGATAGATAGATAGATAGATAGATAGATAGATAGACAGATAGATAGACAGACAGACAGACATACAGACAGTCAGATAGATAGACAGATAGATAGATAGATAGATAGATAGATAGATAGATAGATAGATAGATAGATAGATAGATAGATAGATAGATAGATAGATAGATAGATAGATAGATAGATAGATAGATAGATAGATAGATAGATAGATAGATAGATAGACAACATAAGGCAGATTATTGACAATAATATTTTCAGTTCTAGTAAAGCTAATTGGCCTTGATCTCATAAGCAATATGATCTGGTAAAGTAAACAGATGGTGCTGATAAAACAAGTTTTTGTGTTTGCTGCCAGTGGCCTACATTTTCTTGCACTTCACACCGCACAAAGGTCTACTCAACACGCAAGTATATAAAAGTAACTTTTCCATGACTGTATCATCAGCTGACTTCCAGCTCATGCCATAAAAGCTTCATCCATAAGGAAGTCTTTCTGGAGAATCATGAGGCGTGTGTGTTTAAGCCCCGCCCCCAGCAGATACACGACCTTGGAGACGTGCAATAATATTCACACTCGTCTCACACACCTGAGAGCATCATCCACCTGTGGACAGGTAAGATCTGTTCTTTCATCCCTTTCACTGGAGACAATGCAGATATAATGAGACATGCATAGAGTGAACAGTGACGAGGTTCTCAGGGTTAAAACTCTAAATATTTCATCTTTTCTAATGAATTTATAGGTTATTTAGTTGTAGATTTGCAAGAAGAGGGAAACATTTGTGTTTGTGCAACGAACTAATAGAAAGTGAGAAAGATTAATTGATCTGTTAGTGTAAAATCTCAAAAACTCTGAATGCTTCTCTATTCACACACACACACACACACACACACTCTCTCTCTCTCTCTCTCTCTCTCTCTCTCTCTCTCTCTCTCTCTCTCTCTCTCTCTCTCTCTCTCTCTCTCTCTCTCACACACACACACACACACACACACATAATGAGTCAGAAACCGCTGGGTTATAGAGAATACCATCAAAGTTGTGGTAAAGAACCTCCTCCCACTGCAATCTTCACCACATTTAGAGGAACACACACAGTCTTCTTCAGAATCATTGCATTAGTCAAACATTTCCCAGAACCAGATACAGTTGTATATCCTCCTGGTGTTTGTGTCTCTTCTGACACAGGTTTCTATTATCTCATGTGCCTAGCCTTGTTTTTATAGATTCTTAGTGTTTTAATGGTTGACTTCTTTACAGCTCTGACATCATTTGAGAGAAGCTGCTGATAACACACACTGCTACTGATCTGAACACTGAAGCACAAGTGCCAATTACATTACTGTCCATGTCACAATATATACAAGTTTGGCGTTGGTGAGATATTTGTAAGAACTCTCACCAAGGCTATTTATTTGATCAAAAATACAGTAATATTGTAAAATATTACAATCTAAAATAGTTTTTTTCCTATCTGGCTAGAAGTTAAACTGTAATTTATTCCTGTGATCAAATTTTATGATGTATTTTCAGCATCATTACTCCAGTCTTCAGTGTCACATGATCCTTCAGAAATCACTGATATGATGATTTGATGCTCAAAAAACCTTCATTATTATCAATGTTGAAAACAGTTTGTATTTGAAATATAATCTTTTGTAACCTTATAAATGTATTTACTGTAACTTTTACAGTTCTGCTGCTTCATATTTTTGCGGAAACGTGAATTTTTTTTGTTTTTCAGGGTTCTTTTATGAATAGAAAGTTCAAAAGAACAGCATATATTTGAAATAGAATAATTTTGCAACATTATAAATGTCTTTACAGTCACTCTTGATCAATTTAATGTTTCCTTGCTGAATTAAAGTGTGTGGGTGTGTGTGTAAATCTATATATATAATCGACTTGTAATGACTGTAATACAATGCTCTTTATTAAACCAGCCAACAAAAATAACTCATTTTTTCTCACAGCGTCATTATGATACAGTATTGGATATGTGATGTAATAATCTTAAAACAACTTCTTCCTCTTTATTTTTAGGATTAACGGAAATCTGCCAAAATGTGCTGTAAGGGTTTTCTCAAAATCATGATGTTTGTCTTCAATGGCATCATCTTTGTGAGTAAAACAACTTTTTTGAGCACTGACTTTTCCAAATTTTCATCGTCTAACAATTTTTTAGGACTTCCTTTGACAGTGACTAACACATCTATTTTAATATAATTACAAAAAGACTTCAGAGCTCAAATCACTCTTGTATCTTAACCACTAATTCGTAAAGCTCTGACCTCACTGGATGACTATCTAAAAGTGATTTACCATAACTCTTATCAAACTAGGACAAGGATAAAGCACCTTCACCCATGTTTCCACACACACCTTTATTGAGGCTGTAAACGACACATGTCCTCGTCTTCCTCATTGCAGCTGGCAGGGGCGGCCATACTGGCGGTGGGCATCTGGGTGGCGGTGGACAGAGTCTCTCTTCTGGGGTTTCTAGACCACATTGAAGACGCGCCGGCCGAACTGGCGCAGCTGGCAAACATCGGATACCTGCTGATCGGAGTGGGAGCGTTCCTGACGCTCATGGGTTTTCTGGGATGCTGTGGAGCCATGAAGGAAAGCAAATGCATGTTGCTCTCGGTGAGTCTTCAGATGGGGTCAGCTACAGCTGATCTGGGGTGTGTTTCCCGTTTCCCGTACACAATCACAGCAATGTTGACATTGAAATATTAGAACACTGATCACCATAATTGTGACTTCAAACTAAAATTTATTTTTCCAAAATAAAACCTCAACATTTTAAACTTCTCTTAATTCTCACTAGGAGCTAATGTAGATGTCTGACAGAAATAAAGCCATTCTGGGGTGTGTTTCCCGGACAGAGATGTATCTCCCTAGTACGATGCATCGTTGAAGAAATCAACTAGCTAGTCACGACTGTTTCCCGAAACCTAATTGTTGCAAATTGGTCGTTCAACTACATTGGTTAATGATGTCACGCACGTGGAGGAGTAATAACTTATTTTATTTAATCATTTGAGATCTAATTAATACCAGCATTTTTGCTACAAATCACAGACATGGCACCTGAGGACTCAATTACATTTTTCTCAGTTATTTTGCTTTATTTCCAGATTCAATTAGGCTCGTTCTTACACACTAGAGCTCGTTTGCACATGCGCACTCTTCAAAAACGGCGCTTTAAATCTCTTGACAAACTAAAACACGTAAATGACATTTGTATGTATTATAAATAAAAGATAAAGGTTGTACTGAATGTCAGCTTGATTATCTTTCTCAAGATACTGATTTATTGAGCCCACATATCAGGCAAACAAGAAACTCTGCTTCTAACCACAGCTCGAGATCTGTCGCTCAAACACACAACTTTGTGATGCTTTTTGTGAATGTTCGTTGGAACGATGGTTTCGGGAAGCACCGACTCGTTGAATACTGATAACGACAGAACTTGCGACCATAGTTGGCTAACGATACTTTCGGGAAACACCCCTGAATGGTTCCACTCCCAAAATTGATGTTTAAGTAAATTTCTCGACTGTCTCCCTAGTTCTTCATCATCGTGCTCATCATCTTCCTCGTGGAGGTGGCGGCGGGGGTCGTGCTCATCGTCTTCGAGCCTTTGGTGAGAGAGCTGATTCAACACAACAAAAGCACATATACACTGACAAAGTCTGGTGAAGGATTTACAATTTTCACTCAAAAATTGCTAGAAATTACAGGATATTTTGAAGTAGAAAGACTGAAATAGAATTTTCTTGTAAAACATGATCTTTTTACTTAATACATCTTTTATATTATTTATTTATTTATTACCACTGCTAGCAGGCTTCACACACCTTCTGACCAATGCATCTCCAATTGGATGGTTTTTCAAGATTATTATTATTATTATTGGATATGGATTTTTGAGAATCATTTTTATTTGAGATTGCACCCACAAAGAACAAGTTCTAACACATCTAGACAAATTTATAGAAAAGTCATTATAGAAATGTCCGTATTTCAAAATATTTCACAACCGTGGGAGCCATCAGAAATAGTTGAAAAACACAAATGCAAAACTCAAAAAGCCTATGTAGTCACAAATACTGAGTACTGATGTTTTATAGAAGGGGCTTAAAATATTAGTTAAGCCTTAAAAGATGTGAGCTTTAAATTAATTTGAATAAACGCATTTTCCATGACCAAGCTCATATTGGCAATACAAAATACAGCACATTAAGAACCACAATGACTTATTAAGTCTGTACAAAAATAAATTTAACACCCACATACATCTCATTATATGGTCTCCTTATGATTCCATAATCATGTATGGCTTATATGAATCTGTGTTTATAAGTATTATGGAACGTGACTGTGAAATCAGAGGCTGAATGTGATTTTAACTGCATTCCAGTTTGAGAAATTTCTGGATGAGATTGGACAGAAAGTTGCTACAAGCATTGAGGACAACTATGGAAAGGATGACGGTTTCACTTCAGTCTGGAATAGCACTATGAATGAGGTACGACACCAGCCATCATGCGTTTAATGATAGCTGCCATTTCTGGCTATGTTTCCTGACATTACAATCCCAAATAATGCAAACGTGCGCATGTGTTTTTTCTAGCTGAAATGCTGTGGATATAACAACTACACCGACTTCACGGACTCTCCGTTCGTATCTACAACATCATCATATCCTGACACGTGTTGCACAAACAGTCCAATCTGTAATGAAAATGCAGCAGAAAGAGAAGTATGTTACAGAACGCTTTGAGCTAAACTTACTCTCAAAGCAGAAATTTATTAAATTAATGTAATGCATGTATAGCCTCAACACAGACTATTCATTTGTCACTCACTCAGCCAGTTAATGAGCAAGACGACAATATCATTTTTGCATGAAAGACACATTGGTTTGGCTCAGTGGGTTACAAACAGTAAATGCCTGTAATAAAATGCAACCAACCATGTAATTGTGCATTAAGGCCAGCAAAGTGAAACAAAGCTGTGGTACGGTAAAAGAAGAAATGTTGCATGGGCATAAAGATGCACATGATGTGCAAAACAAAAACAAAAAAAAACACTAAAACTTTTGAAAAGAGAAAAAACATTAACACAGTATCTGAATCAACTATTGAAAGAATAATTGTCTATGTAGGTATTGCATTGATGTGTGTGTTTTGTGTAGCCTGTCGTGGGCTGTTTAAAGGCATTAGAGCAGTTCTTCAAGGATAACGCAGTTCTGCTGGCTGGCGTGGCTCTGGGAATCGCAGCTTTAGAGGTATTTACTTCAGTCTTACACGTTACACACTCTATGTAGACTAATATGCCGTTTGCACCGAAAGACAAACGTCAAACATCATTATGATCAATCTCAGTATGTGATGCAATAGAATTGATGGTCTGAATACTTGGCAAAGCTTTAGTCAGATAAGTCTGTGTGCATTAACACCGATGGTCATGATCCTGATTAATCAATACATTATTTGTAAAGTTTTTCATAAAATTCAAAATTCAAAAAGTTTTTGTTCCACAGACCATCTTTGGACAAGATATTGAGGTTTATGTAAACATCTGTATAACCAAAATTTGCCACAAAGTCGTCACAACTAAAATAAAAACATAAGAACTGGTAGTTTTACAATACCAACAGAGTAAAAAATCATTAAAAAAAGCCATGTAACCAACTCATCCAGATTCTTTTTACTGTAAAAAAAAAACGATTTAAAACAATATTGCACCTAATTTGCTTCTTCACAGATTGCAGCGATGGTCGTTTCCATGATCCTCTATAAGAATGTAGGAAAATGAGACCAGGACTGACTACAGACACTTCTGTTTACATCATTGTGTACTGTAACATTTTAATATTCGATATGTTAACTGAAGTTATGTAAATACTTGACTATCTGCTCCAGTTTAAATGACATTTGCACTAAGATCTTTGATATTTTGTGTTCTTTTTTAAATGCATTTTTACCTCAATAAATTCATATTTTTTTCTGCTAAGATATGACTCTGACTCCAAAGGTTTAATATCTATAGCTGATGTCATGTTGAATACTTCAGCTCATTAAAGATCACTGCAACATTTTAAACATTATTTACCTATGATTCAATTAATCTGCATCTGTAATATTTACATGTATTTGTGTCAATAAAATAATGTTTTTAAAGCTCTGTACCAACTCTCTTGCTCCCTGAAGCACACATTCTTAAGTTTTTCTCTCAATATATAACGACAGGGTTATTTTTGTTAAAAAGAAACAAACACTACTGACATGTGACAATTGTTCCTCACATTGGATGTTTGCTTTGTGTAGCTTATAGAAAAATAAAGCATATAAAGCAGCAAGACACTGGTGGAAGTTATTCAAAGTCAATGCAAATTTATGGCTGTCCAATAAATGTATCACATCCACTAGGAGTCCCTCTCTGTCTATTTGAATTATTTAATATAAAGCCTTTAGAAAATCCAGACTCACCTCCATAGGCCATTTCAACTCATTATTTTCTTTCCGCCATGACCGCAATGATCCTCGATCAATTTAAAAATGGCGCCTTTGGACGCTGTTCTTGGTTTGAAGTCAATGCATACAGCAGAAGCAGAGTTTAAACAAAGACAAAAGGACATCATCACTGATGCAACATTAGACGTGTCAAACTTCACAGTAGCATCTGAATGTGTGATCATGTGACCCTCGTGAGAGATGGACAGACGAGTGCTGATGTCACAGACATGTTGCTCAAACATCTGTAGTTTTACTTAATATTGTTAAACTATGAATATCTCAAGGATGTCTCGTGTCTTATTGGTGCATCCACATTTCCTCGTGGCTTAGCTCCACCCCTTAGGATGCTAGTGAAGGATACACTAATGTATCCTCACACAAGACTGCTTCCTCGTTCCTCGCGGTGCAATTAGAGTATTGAGAAACACCAACTCTGTAGGGCAGAGTCTCTCCAAAGCCCCCACTTATAGGGGGCCCTTCAGAGTGAGTAGGGGATAGGGATGCTCACTTCGGATTGGAATTGGCCCTCAGTGTTTCTCTGAGGACATCTGCTGGTCAAATGCGTGTACATGCTAAAAATTAGACCCAGGAACAAGCTGAATAATACAACACAATTTCTTAATAACATCTGTAAAATCCTTCAATACACATGGATATTTTGCAGACTATAGAACTTAATATACAAGTCAAGTCTTTCATTATTAATATTATTGTTTTAAATGTGTTTTAATTTTAAATTAATCTTAACTGGCTATCCAGTATTTATGTTTTATTTGTGTAATTGTATTTATTGTTTAAATCTTATAGTATCTATAAAACATCTGTATATTGGGTGTTTTAATTTTTTTTTAAACATGACGTGTAAAAACTCACAACATTTTCAGATCAGGAGTTTGCTCATCGCCCTCTAGCGTCAAAGCATCAGAATTTCAAAACAATATAAGCCAGTTTGATACACACTCTAAAGCACTCATTCAAAACAGAATGTTGAATGGCTTGTGTACCTTTCTATAATTTAATCTGTTATTTAAAAAGGAATTAAGATAAAACCCTTTAATAAACTGCTATGTATTATCATCTTGGCCCCACATGGTTGTGCTGGTCTGAAATGCGATTGGGCAATTCAGTAATTGGAAATGACATCACTCAAACATAAAACTCAATATACTATTTTAAAACAATCATGAACAGTTTTCCCAGACTCTTATTAGGATATGAACAGCAATATCTGCACAGAGACACACAAATAAAATAGAAATTATGTCCTCATTATTTTTATTATTTAAAGTTTACTGGAATGGTCACAAAACTCAAAAGACTACAAAATAATAATAATAATAATAATAAAAACATTATAAGAAACATCTGTATATTCATTTGTTGTAGCTTCTACACAACTGACATGTAAAAACGCAACATTTTCAGTCGTGGGGCACGTTCAAGTTCAAAACGGTGCAATTGTTTTTTTTTATTTTTGAAAATTTAATTTATATTTAAAAAGAATAAAGATAAAATATCAGTCACACAGTTCCTTTAATAAACAGATAATATTTTAATATTTTAAATTCTTGCACATGATTCAGTCACACTATAATATGTGTAAGGTCCTTTCAGCAATAGCTCATAGTGGAAAACATGTTTATTGATTATAATACTGTTCATTCATCACACACTGAGGTCACACATGAACATAATCCATTACTTTATTTTACAAAACCTATAAACATTACTTCACTACAGAACAGAAACTCTAGTGGCGTTCACAGATAAAGTTGCTCATTTTTATTGGTAGTTGTGATGTGGGCGTGTCCAGCGATGCCACAAAAGTTGAGTAAAGTTTTAAATGTGCTTCATTTTACCGTGGCGTATTGCTGTGTGGCTACAACAGAAATGAGACAAGATAATTTAAGTGATTAAAAGTGATGAAAAATAAAGTGATGGTTATTATCTATTGACGAGTACGAGGACACTTTGTTTATTGATTATATTGAGAAGACCTGAGGATCTAACACTTACTGACACATTCTCATATTCAGAAGAGCCCGACTGGTGAACAGCAGGTCTGGGTTGTACAGTCTATGTGAAAAACGCATCGATTATTTATTACCTGAATTTTTAATGCAACTTTTTTGCTCATGTATTTTTGGACATTTCACTTACTGTGAGTGTGTTGTACTGGTCAGAAGATCTGGTCCTGAGGTCAAGAGCTGCATATGAGGCTGCACTGGGATCATCATTCTACACACACACACATACACACACACATATATATATATATCACACACACATGCACACACACACACAATCTCTGCATGAAGGAAGAGGCTAATTTCCTTCTTTTATTGATTTTATTCTGTGATTATTTGATCATCTCACCTCATACTCATGTATTGCAGATCTTCTCTTCATCATTTTCCTCTGACTGTCAAAAAGAAAACAATTAACGTCTCGTTTACGTATGATAACCCTCGTTCCCTGAAGGAGGGAAAGGGAGACGTTACGTCAACATGCCGACATAATTCGGATCACTTCAGGGAGCCCTATCATCTTCGAGTGTATACAGAACGAGCCAATGCATATTAGCGTGCAAGATTTGCATCTTGTGCCCCGCCCCGCAGCGCGGGTATAAATACAGAAGCCGATTAGTCCCCTAATCAGCCAGTTGTCTATGCAATTCAGAATACGAATGCACTGCAGCCTGGACGGGGCCAGAGCTGCATCTACACACTTTGTGAATGTGCGGGGTGATAATGGAAGTGCCTGATAATGGTGTTCTTTGCCCCCAAAAGAAAACCTCAGGAACCTCTTGTGCTGAGGGAGGATGGAGATATGGAAGTATGCGTCTATCAGATCTATCGTGACAAACCAGTCCTCGGATCTGGTTTGAGTCACGATCTGTTTGAGTGTCAGCAACATGGACTTGAGTTCCAGCACCGAACACTCCAACAGAAGAAAATTTAGAAAATGACGCAGCTCTCCATCCTTTTTTGGAAAAATGAGATAACGGCTGTAAAGATCCGACGCAATGTCGGGTGAGTACACCTGCTCCATAGCTTTCTTTGCTAACAGGGCCTTTACCTTTTGCCTGCTCGGGATGCACTAACATGAGCAACACCCCGTTGTAGCCTGGAGGACGAGAACCAAACTGGAATCTGCCACTTAATACTGCAGGACCCATAGAGATATATATGGCAGTAGCTTCCGCGCTGCCAGAAAATCTACCAAGGAAACCAGCCCCTCAAGGCTGGCCTCTGGTGTAGTTGAGACAGCCAGTTCGGGGACCTGAAGCATACTGGCAGGAACTACAAGAACTGACTGTTTTAAAACCCCCCTCAGAGGGAGCGAGTCTGACGCAATGTCGAGTTGACACTGCGCCAAAGGCTCGCTGAAGACCGCTGCCCCCCGAAGCACCAAGGGTGGCGGGGTTGGCAGAACGGTCCCGTGAGGACACCGAGATGGAACGGGCACCGTATAATGAGGTGTACACCGTTCCAACCCGTTTGGGGCTGCCCTCACTGGTCTGACGTCGGTGGCGCCATTTCTTTTGAGCCGAAGCCTTCTCAGTGTGAACCGGCTTCTGCTTCGAAGGCTTTGGCTGCTGTGGTGCGTATGAGAAACTAGACGGCTGGAGCTGCTCACGCCCAGCAGCCCCAGGGGGTTGGACATAGCGAGGGAGAGATATTTTAACCGCCTCTGACTGTAAGTTGGCCTCCTGGAGACTCTTGACGACCGAAATAACCGCGTCGCCAAAGAGACCAGAAGGATTGATGGGAGCATCAAGAAAAAAAGCTGTATCTTTCTCCTTGATCTCCGTCAAATTGAGCCAGAGGTGTCTCTCAGTGGCCACAAGGGCTGCCATAGACCACCCGATTGCTCTGGTGGTCTCCTTAATAGCCCAGAGAGATAAATCTGTGACCCGACGAAGTTCTCAAACTCCATCGGGCCTCACTTCCTCACTTCTGTCCAAATCCCCCAGCAGGTCAGCCTGATATGCTTGTAGTACTGCCATAGTGTGCAAGCAGGCTTCGGCTTGACCCACTCCCGTATATGCTTTTCCCACTAGATTAGAAATAGATTTCTTTAATGGTTTAGTGAGAGAAGCCGACGCCTTCAGGGATGATGCTGAACCGGGAGTCAGATAGCTCACAAGCGTCTGTTCTACCCGAGGAATCGCCCCATATCCATATTCTCATAACCCCCTAATATCTGAATACAAGAACTTGGGGGCTGTTACAAGATGAGTAAGGGTTTTCCCAGGATCTAGACAGCTCGCTGTGCAGATCAGGAAAAAATGGAAGGCGCCGTGATGGTGGTGAAACAATAGAGGTAAGGAAGCGCTTTTCTCTGCTGGCCAATCAATATTTAATTTATCTACAGCCCTAGTAATCACCTTCACCAGCTCCTCATATGCTGGGGAAAGAGATGGCGAATCCTCTTCCTCCATGATTGTGTCACTTTCAATGCCCAGCACATCTAAGCACTGACGCATTGGTCTCTTTCCCCGGGCGGAAGAACCCGCGGGTGGGCCTCCGAACGGAGAGAGAGCAATGGATCCCTCGGGAAAGGGAGGAGAAAAGATCCTCGGACCCGTCTCCAAACCTGTAAAGAGATCCATTTGCGATCCCCAGGAATGCATTCTCCGCGCTGCCTCGGCAGACACGGGTCCTGCACCCTGAGAACCGCGAGCCTGGCCACTTTCCTCGAATGCATGCAAATCGAAAGCTTCTCACAATGTTGGCAATCAGCCCCCTCGAAGGCTGATACCGCATGCTCCACTCCCAAACACATCGCACAAAGCTTGTGTGTGTGTCCACTCATTAAATAACGCGAGCAGGGAGAAACACAGAGATTGTGCAATTGTTTCGCCATAGTGTTTAGATATATATATCAGACAGACAACAGTAAATATAACAGACAGATTGACACAGATCGCTTGCTGAGGCAACAGAAGCTAATGCCGGTTTGCACCGGATGCGCTTTATCTCTTCCTGGTCATGACGTCACCCGCCCGTGACGCTCATTCTTTCCATTGGACTAGTTGACATAGATGCTTCAGACGCATTCATGCTGGAGCATTCCCGAAGCGTCATCGACGCATAGCGAGTTCCCTCGAAAGGGAACGTGCAGTGTTGGCGGTCCTTCAGGAGCAGGATTGGGAAACACTGATTTAGGCTATTCTCTCGAAAATAGACAAATATTACCAAGAAGGCATTGTTTTCTACGGTATATTACTGTTTTAATGGAAAATGGTATGATACAGTCAGAATTTGGTCTTTTTTTTACAGCAAGGGTTATAGGTGTGTGTAATTTTCTTGTACGCTAAATAAAATACTAATAATAAGATACTCACACATGACATTGAGATAAACCTCAGGAGAGATGTGTTTTTGTCTGTCTACAGCACAGCTATATCTGCCTGAATCCTCTCTTCTGACTGGATTGAAGGAGAGTTTGTTACTGAATTTACTCGTTGTTAATATCTTCTGTGAGTTTCTGTACCAGATGAATGTTGCTCTGTCAGTCAGAGCGCAGCTGCTTTTACATGTCAGACTGACTGAATCTCCCTCTGTCACTCTCTCAGGAGACTCCACCTGAAGATCTGAACACAACACACACATTATATCTAGTGCTGCTGTCATACACTGATTATTATTCAACATAATGCACAGAAGAAGAGATACACCTCATCAAAGTCACCTGTGACAGTAAGAGTCACTCCTGGATCACCAATCCATTTGTATTGATCAGTGATGAATCTGCAGTAGTACTTGTCTTCATCCTTCAGTGTCACATGACTCAGTCTGACGGTGCAGTTCTGCTGTTTATCTCCCAGATACTGAAGCCTCTGACTGTATTCAGGGTCCTCAGACAGATCTGGAATCTCTTCACCCTTTATTACAGCACCTTTGGTCCAGAACACTTTGGTAATATATCCAGGGTATGTAAAAATGCATGTCATTTTCACTGTTGAGTCCTTTAGTGCACAGATGTCTAAAGGACTGTAACTCACATGCGAATAAACATACTGGCCATAAACTCCTGAAACACACATTAAAGAGATAGTTCACCCCAAATTATTCTCTAATAATTTCCTAATGTTGTCCCAAACCTTTCTGCTGTCATAAACTTGTACATACATTTTAATTTTAATTTAGCAAGGTATAGTTCACCCAAAAATTAAAATTAGCCCATGATTTACCCTCATGATTCACCCTCAAGCCATCCGGTGTATATGACATCCTTTTTTTAGATGAATACAATCTGAGTTATATTAAAAAAAATGTCCTGGCTCTTCCAACTTTATAATGGCAGTGAATGGCTGTTTCTGTTTTGAGTGCATATATCCATTATAAAAGTGTTCCGGCAGGGAAACCCTCTGGGGTCTAAGGCGTTTTTGGGGTCCTTGAGATGTTTTGACATGCCCTGACATTAAGCGCATTTTGATGCACAACAGATGCACATTTTGTTGCCTTTACCGAGCGCAATCAATTTGTTTAATGCACAGCTAGCCATGGATGATCCCGTTTATACCGGGGTCCTTTGCCAACATTGACAAGTTATTTAGGTTAAGCTGTTATTGATGCTTGCAGCACTATATTTGACTGGAAGGATGAAAATGCCGGTTATTTTCTTGAGTTACGGCTAGTTAGATATCAGACACAGTGATAAAGTAGTGCGGTAAGGTTACCTTATTTGATTGAGTTATAACATTTATGTGAATGAATTGGCCTATCGAGAGAGAGAGAGAGAGAGAGAGAGAGAGAGAGAGAGAGAGAGAGAGAGAGAGAGAGAGAGAGAGCTCAGACTGTGTTCACACTGCTGAGACGTGAGAGAGAGACGTCTGTGCAGAATCAATGAAGTTTAGAGTTTAATAAAGCAGCGCATTAATATAGAACAGTAATTAAACTGACATGGAACTACCATTAAACGGTTTTATTGGACACCTTTCAGCCAATAAGAATGAAGTATTCAGAAAGACCATGGTATATAAATGACATTGTATATCTGATAAATGCAAAAAAGTAAAGGGGGTTCAGCAGGGAGTCCAATAATTGGCAGATCCCAGCAAAAGAAAG